AGCAGCTGGTGAAGCTCATGTATGTCATAAGTTTTACGTCTTACTCTTCAGCACTTAATTGGTCTAATGAAGACAGACGTCATGCAGTGTACAATGAGGGAAATTTTGCCGGATATCAGCATTAGCCTACTTTTTTTTCCATTTCCAACTGTCGAGGGATCTTTAACCTGCACAGCCTGTAGCATATGGCACCTCAGTTTATTGTCCCATCCGAACGACAAGACGCTTTTTTCATGTTGTAAAGTTCATAGTTGGTTACTCTGCTGTCAAAAGACATTTTGAGTTTTGGACTGATGTCTAATTTTGAGTCTTTTGTTTGTGTGCGATTAAATCATAATGTGCCATTGTATTTTAAAAGGGAACAAAGAGAGAAGAGTTAAGTGTCAGTGAACAGAAAAAGCAAACCGACAGCAATGAGTTGGTGGAAAGAAAATTAGATGATGTCGTCACTTTAGGGAAGGAATTATTTATGATTTTTGGAGACAAATGCTTAAGGTATGTCATGATTTTCTTCATACATTTGCTACCATGTTTCGCTGTGGCTAGTATACTTATATGAGGGATCAGTGCCTTGTATGAAATTTAAATTTTGTTTGCGTCAAAGGAAAAAGCGTAATTTGGTCTGATGAAATCTCGACTATCATCAGCTTTACCATTTGGACAACAATTTCAGCTATCCGTAGCTCTTTTCAGCTATAAATTTCAATGTCTTTTTCATCTGCAATTTAGAAAAAGTACCTCCAAAAGGACAATAACTTTTATATAAATGTTAGAATATTCAAAGTTAAAATAAAAGATTCAGAAAGCTGTTCTTTGTGGCAACACCCCAAAATTCCGAAGTATATCCCTGACAAATAAGTTAGAAGATTTTTGAAGTAAAATGTTTCTTGATAGGCTGTCATTTTTTTTTCAGGCTTCATTTTCTAATGAATGGATCTCACAGAATATCAGAAAGTGGTAACATGGTTTTAACTGGTAAGAAGATACCACCAGTGCTAGAAGTTTATTTTGGACCTACTGTCTTATTCTTTTATGAGTCTTCTTTTGATGTTAGGTAAGTTTTTCCCCTAAATTTTTCAAAGTATGTGCCAATGCTTATCTCAGTCTGGTGGAAAGTCTGGTGATATTGGACAAGTTGTATTTCTTCAGGATCCTAGTTTGACCCAGCTGTAAATGGGTACAGATAATCCAGGAAAGATCAATGCCAAGAGGTTTGACCCAGGCTCAACTGGTAGAAAGGATCCTCATTTTTCCAGTCGACCCAGCTGTAAATGGGTACAGATAATCTGGGAAAGATCAATGCCAAGAGGTTTGGTCAAGGACCAGCTGGTAGAAAGGATCCTTTGTGAACCTAAGTTATTAACCTTGTAAAAATCATTATTTCTTTGTAACAAGCTCGGCGACTTTTTTTTCAGATCAAGTGAGCAATGCATCAGTCGTTTTGAAGAACTGAAAGACGTCGACATCTGTTCACCAACCTTCAATCAGAAGAGAGTGGTTGCTATGGTAACAGAACAGAAAGGGAGACAACTCTGTGATGTTTTGTTAGATCAGAATATTTTACCAGGCGTAGGAAACATTATTAAGAACGAGGCTTTGTTTGATAGTGGCATCAACCCCTGTGTTCGGGTGAGTTGTCAGAATTTTTTTTTCTTGAGACTGGAGACAAATATCTAAGTAACCTCTGTAAATGAAATGAATGGAGTTTTACATCCTACTTTTCTGCACCTAATGGGCTAATGAAGACGGGCAATTGTCAAGGGATCTATAATGCGCACAGCCTGTAGCACACGGGGCCTCGGTTTATGGTCCCATCTGAATGATTAGACGCTTTTTTTGATTTCCAACTGTCGAGGGATCTTCAACGTGCACAGCCTGTAGCACACGGGGCCTCGGTTTATTGTCCGATCCTAACAACTAGACACTTTTTCAAATTACAGGTTGATCAATTGAAGCCAAACCATATTTCACACATCATCAAAATGACCAGAGATTTTACGATGATCTTTTACAAGGTAGGAAACGTTGCCTTACTTTATTTTTAGTTTTATCAGTTATCAAGATCCATGCCAAGAGGTTTAGTCAAGAACCAGCTGGTAGAAAGGATCCTCATTATTCCAGTCAACCCAGCTGTAAAAGGGTACAGATAATCTGGGAAAAATCAATGCCAAAAGGTTTGATCAAGAACCAGCTGGTAGAAAGGATCCTCATTATTCCAGTCAACCCAGCTGTAAAAGGGTACAGATAATCTGGGAAAGATCAATGCCAAGAGGTTTGGTCAAGGACCAGCTGGTAGAAAAGATCCTCATTATTCCAGTCGACCCAGCTGTAAATGGGTACAGATAATCTGGGAAAGATCAATGCCAAGAGGTTTGGTCAAGGACCAGCTGGTAGACAGGATCCTCATTATTCCAGTCAAACCAGCTGTAAATGGGTACAGATAATCCAGGAAAGATCAATGCCAAGAGGTTTGGTCAAGAACCAGCTGGTAAAAGGATCCTCATTATTCCAGTCGACCCAGCTGTAAATGGGTACAGATAATCCAGGAAAGATCAATGCCAAGAGGTTTGGTCAAGGACCAGCTGGTAGACAGGATCCTCATTATTCCAGTCAAACCAGCTGTAAATGGGTACAGATAATCTGGGAAAGATCAATGCCAAGAGGTTTGGTCAAGAACCAGCTGGTAGAAAGGATCCTCATTATTCCAGTCGACCCAGCTGTAAATGGGTACAGATAATCCAGGAAAGATCAATGCCAAGAGGT